CTTGGGTTTCCGGGAAGTAGCACTACGGAAGTATATTGCCCAACCTTCCTTCCAAGGAGTGGGTGGTTGATTTGAACCACCAGTCTTTCGGTTAGCAGTCAAGTGCCTTAGGCACTATGCTACCAAAGCTCCCATATGATTTGTGGACATTGAATTATTATTTCCTACATGACATGCATAGTACCAAGTATGCATAGCACCAAGCATTCTCAATTAATCCTCAAAATAATCATCAGAGGGTAGGTACTATTATCAGTCCCATTCATCTAAGATGGAAATTTAGAAAATGTAAGTTATTTCATTGCCAATATACCCAGGATTCAAACCAAGACCTACCACTAGGCGTTATTGCCTCTTTAAAAATAGAATCCATCCCTAGAAAACCTTGTTTCCCTGTTGAATCATTTCCTTTTTATTTGTTCATTTGGTCAAAAAAATGATTATTGAGCTTATGATGTGTAAAGCACTGTGATGTGACTCTATCTATGGATAGAGTCCATAGAGCTTGCTCACAGATAGGATGAGAGATGTGCATGAGGACCCAGGGATGGCATCCAAATTCTTGCTGGAGCAGGAGGATGGGTGGAAGTACCACTCACTGGAGAAGGGGGCCCCAGAGCTAGTGGGTTTGGCAGGGGAGAGATGAGTGTAAGCTGGCCAAGCTGAGGCTGAGGTGCCTGAGGGAGGACATGCATGGTTCCACTTCTGGGAACGCCTAGAGGTTCCCTCAGCCTTGCAAAGCCTCACTAAGAGAAACCTAGGCACCTTTACTCCTTCTCTCCACCCGTGGCATTTCTCTTCTTAGCCTTTTAGATACCTCCCTCCTATCCACAAGGTCACAGTTCATTTTCCTCTCTGTCTGTTTCACATGATCCATAGACAGCAACCATGTGAAAATGAGTCAGTAGCCTGCTTTCCTGGTAACCTGGCATAGGCACCAATGAGGACAAGCTGGATTTCATTATCACTGCTGTCTTTGTATCTTGTGTCTACATATAACCCTTAGGACTAGATCCAGAAGATTTAGGGATCAAACATGGAATAATTATAAGAATCGCAGTTATTTCTGTCAAGAATAAATACAAACAAACAAATTCAACTTCTAGATCACTTTACCCTGGGGAGTCTTGGTACCTAAATTGAAAAACTTGATGTATTTCATTAAGAAATACTAATAATTTCTTTGTCAGAGTTTAATACTTTCAATATACAGATAAGGTGGCAATTTGGAATCACTCAAATCTGAATTTATCCAAATATAAATATTTAGGTATTTCAGTTGGAAAGCAATTTGTATCCATCTGCCCCTAGCTAAAGTGCACCTGTAAATTTTTCTTTTGACATGACATGCATTATTCATTTGTTCGTGTACCATTTGTTGTCAAAAAGTCCCAAGTACTATCACTTGCGACTTCATGCATTTTCCCATGTAGGTGATACCATCTCCATTATAGATAAGGAAAATGTTGACTTCACATCTCAGAGTATAAGAGGTCATACACTTGTTAGTAGAAGAGCCAGATTTTGAACTTAGAGCTCTGAACTCCATGTCCAGTCTTCCTTTAAGTCAGCACAGGTTTATTTCCTTCATAACATAAAACATTTTATTTTAAAATAATTATTAAAAGTAACAGCAAAACTTTCAAATAAAAGACCCAGTGAATGTTTTATATAGCCTACTTTTAGTTTAGGTATTTGTGTAACCCATTTATTTCTTAGGTCTGAAAATGCATATAGTATTACTAATGAGAACGAGACTTTGCAGTTTGGGTTTTCTTTCTGCCTAATTTGGAAATAAGAGGGTGGTTTGGTCCCATTGTCTGAGAACCTGTACTCAAACTGGTAACCACTGACAACCACTCAGAAAGGGATCAAAATTGTAGGTCCTGGATAAAATGGGAGAAAAATGTGAAACAAAACTCAAAATAATTAAAAAAAAAAAAAAAAACAGGTTTACTGGCATGATAGAGACAGGAGAAACCCCCGAGACTATGGCCCCTAGTCACCCTTCTGGCCTGGGATTGAACTCACTCCCATGGCTTACCTTCCAGCCAAACAGTAGGTAGGCCTACAAGGTTAGCAATTATACCAAGGAAGTAACACTCCTTAGAACAAACAATGATGAGAGATCAGAGGGCAGCATTTGCACAGGGAGATAGCTCAGAGGAGAGGAACGCATAGGAAAGGACACAGGAAAAGCAGCCACAGGGGGGAAGTGGCAAGAGAGCTGTTACATTGTGGGGATTGCAATCAATGTCATGAAACAAAATGTGTATCAATTGTTGAATGGAAAACGACTTTGCTCTGTAAACCTTCATCCAAATCACAACTGGAAAAAAAAAAAAAAAAAAACTTGGCTAGGAGAAGAGAAACTAACATAAAATACTTTGTTGTTTTAATGATGGGTCTTAGAGAAGGAATTGGTGATAAAATTCTCCTATACTAAAAGTGATAAAATCACAGAATCTGCTTAGAGAGACATTTAAAAGGAAGTGAGAGAGGCGCCAAGAAAACACATAATCATAATGTTTCATGCCAGGTACACACAGTAAGAACCTAATAGATGTTAATTTCATTATTTAAGTACAGTGTCAGAAGTGAGCAAAGAAATGGAAAAAAAAAAAAAAACCCTCATTCCTGTCGAGTCGGATCAGACTCATAGCAACCCCTCCTTGGGTTTCCAAGGCAGTATCACTACAGAAGTAGGTTGCCCAACCCTCCTTCTGAGTAGATGGCGGGTTTGAACCACCAGCCTTCTGGCTAGCAGTCAAATGCCTTAGGCACTACACCACCAGAGCTCCTAAGCAAAGAAGTAGGAGATGAAAACTAAGTAGTTGTTAATGAAAAAGTATACACAGAGTGTGCATTTCTTAAGAACTGAAATATACATATATATTTTGTTGAGAAAAAATAAAATACTTCTTTGAAAACACTAACATGTAAAGAAAAGTGTACCTAAATTTTGCCAAGAATGTCTAGGAGCTAGAATTGTCAAGAGACCTGCTGATGGAAATGAAAAATGATACAACTACTTTGGGAAAAATTCTGGAAATTTCTTTCAGAATTAATCATATACCTACCATACAACTAAGCCACTTCATTTCTATGTATTTACCAAGAGAAGCAAAAAAAAAATATATATATATATATATATATATGTCTATCAAAAGACTTGTACATGAGTGTTAATAGCAGCTTTATTCATAATAACCAAAAATTGGAATGACTCAAATGTCCATCAACAGGTGAGTGGGTAGACAAATTATGATATATCCAATAATGATGAAGATCAAAGACTACAGTGTTCAGTATGGATTACATCATAACATAAAGAAAACAAAAATCCTTGCAACCAGACCAGTAAGCAACATCATAGTAAATGGAGAAAAGACTTAAGTTGTCAAGGATTTTATTTTGCTTGGATCGACAATCAACATCCATGGAAGCAGCAGTCAAGAATTCAAACAACATATTGTTTTAGGCAAATCTGCTGCAAAAGACCTCTTTAAAGTTCTAAAACACAAATATGTCACTTTAAGGACTAAGGTGTGCCTAACCCAAGCCTTGTTGTTTCAGTTGCCTTAAATGTATGGGAAAGCTGACAGTGAATAAGAAAGACCAAAGAAGAATTGATGCCTTTGAATTATGGTGTTGGCTGAGACTATTGAACATACCATGGACTGCCGGAAGAACAGACAAATTTGTCTCGGCAGAAGTACCATCAGAATGCTCCTTAGAAGCGAGGATGGTGAGACCTTGTCTCACGTACTTTGAACATATTATCAGGATTCTTCCAGTGCCTGGAGAAGGACATCATGCTCAGTAAAGCAGAGAGGAAGACCCTTAGCAGAACTGACACACTGGTTGCAACAATGGGACCAAGCATAGCAAAGATTGTGAGGACGGCACAGGACCAGGCAGTGTTTCGTTCTGTTGTGCACAGTGTCACAATGAGTCAGAACCGACTCAACGGCATCTAACAACAACATTGCTACATGCAACAGCAGGAGTGTCTTTAATGTAATATAATATTTATAGTTTACAAAAGAATCCAGACAGAAATAATACATACTGTTTGATTCCAATTATACAAAATTATATCAATTAGTGACAGAAAGCATATCAGTGGTTGCCTGGCTCTGAGGTGAAATGGGTTACAAAGAAGGGGTAATGAATATATTCATTATCTTGATTGTGGTTATGATTTCTGAGATGTCATAAGAAGACCCCAGGGCAAACAGAAGAGAAATAAAAATAGATATCTTAACTATCCTAGTGAAAGTACTCATGACTTAACTTAAATGAGCTGGCCAATAACGCTGCCAACCAACTTCTTGTTCTTGACCAGGTTTGTTAGATGATCTGTGACTTAGTTCTGCTGCTGTGCAGTGTATATATCTTTTCCTTTTCCCCTGTCTTCCTGCCGTCCTTTACTTTTCCTTTATTTTTTTTATTCTAACCTCATACTACTAAAAATAGATACAAATAAATAAAGCCATTTTAAATACTCAAATGTAGTTATTATATTCTTTCAAACATTCTTTTAAACACGTTCTTCTTTTCATTTTGAAGGTTCAATAGTGTAAAGTTCAGTAGTATGTAATAGGATATGCCATTGGAATGCTGTTGGAAATGCTGATTGGAATGCCAGTTTTGCCATTGACTGGTCTTGTACTGTACGATTGTCAGTTAACTTCTGTGATCCTCAGATTCCTTACCTGAAACATGGAGATAGAAATTGTACTTCAAGGGTCAATATGAAGATTAGAAATAATTATCTATTTGATGTGCAGTAAATCATTTGCTTGCTACTATATACTGACATTGAATCTTTGAAATCACTATGTACATTAACTTATGTCAGCCCCCAGTAACAGCTGAACACATACCCAAGCTGTGAAGAGCTTAGAAAGCCAGGATATTTGATACATATAAAGTAATGAATTTACCTTTCCATGCACTTTGGACTGACGTGCTAACTCTGCTTTAATTGTGTGTAGTGCACCTGGTGGACATTTGGAACGTCATAGAAGCCTTGCGGGAAAACGCTCTGAACAACCTGGACCCAAACATAGAGCTCAATGTGGCCCGCTTGGAGGCTGTGCTCTCCACAATTTTTTACCAGCTCAACAAACGGATGCCAACCACTCACCAAATCCACGTGGAGCAGTCCATCAGCCTCCTGCTTAACTTCCTGCTTGCAGCCTTTGATCCGTAAGCTCCCTCTGAATGTCTATTACTTTCTAGGTATCTGGCCTCTCCTTCTTGTACTTGATCTTTTTTCCCAAATAATTCTCTAGAGTAAGCAACTATCTCTTTATTCTTGATCGGATGTTTATGCCAATAAAGACTCCATGTCTTTAAAATAAATTTTAGGCACAGTGAAAAATACTAGAGAACAAAATAGTGCCACAGGAATTTGAAGACAATTGTATTTTATATGCTGACCTTTATTTAACTCATCCCATATTTCCTAGAAGCTATGGATGCTTGAAGTATTGCATGATGGCATGCCTGTGGAGTGATTTAATGAAGCATGGAGTGGGAGGCTGTTTTTAACTCTCTTCTTTGCAAATTATCTCAGGCAGTGTTTCTTAACATTTCATAACAAGACTCTAGAGCAAACAAGGAAGGAATTGAAAAGGGCTTGCTAGTGAAAGTAACCATGACTTGCATTAAATGGACTGGTCAATAATGTGACAGTGTCCACACATCACCTTTGAAACTCAGCCTCATTATCTTATAATTTTCCCCAATAGAATCTGAGAGTTTCAGAGCAGGCAAAGATCTTAAAGACTGTTCATCCAAATCTCTCATTTTATAGATGAGGTAACTGAAACACAAAGAGATTGTCACTTACCCAATCTCATGCAGTATGTTCATGGCACAGTGGGGACTTAAGTATCCAGCTAAGGCTTCTTTTCCAATGCATATGTGGCAGGCTTGTTAAATGTAAAAACTTCCCTGAATTATACTATCAACCTAAAATTTCAAATGGGCTTTTGTCAATAGCCCCTAGTCTGCATATAATATCAACATCGTCATTTTTACCACTTGGTTTGCATATTAAAAAAGAAAATAACTAACCTGACATTTCAACAATCTGATTTTAAGGCTCTCAGGAGATTTTGCTTATTCTCCCTGTCTGACCAATACATTGGAGTATTTTAACCCTGACGTTGGAGATTTTCCAGCCAGGCTAATTTTATTACACCATTCACTTTCAAAAGTCACCAGCTGTCACTTTGCAACGTGGAGTGGTAGCCGAATTGTTCTGCTCAGTTGTACCAGTGTATGTTATTGTTTCCCTGGTGTTCATATGTTGAGAAATGCTCAAATTGAAATAAATTATTTTAAAACAAGCAGTCCAGCTTGACAGATTCCTTGCTTAGTCTGTCAGACTTCAGAACTGGATGTATTGTTTTGGCCCAATCACTATGGCAGCCAGATGATGGTGCAGGTAGACAAGGTTGTGGTTCCACATGACAGGTGGCCGAGTGGAACCAGGCTGGGGAATTTCTATAATGGCATTTATATCCTGTGCCCTTGACAAAAGACTGCCAACTTTCAAGCATGCCACCAAAGTCTCCAGGGACTTACTATTTTGTTGATGTTGTTTGTGTAACAGTGGAAAATGTAAAAAGAGAACTGTAAATTCCTGCTTAATCCTAGGTTATTGCTAGAGTACAGACTCATAAGGAATCAAGGCCAAAGAGTAATTTGTACCTACTCCATAAATACAGAGACAGGACCAGATTAATAGTGAGGAAGAGAATGTTTTATGAAATATATGGGATTCAAACTAATAGAGTTAGATTTTTCATTTCATTTAGAAAACTTGGGAAAATGATTTCAAAACAAAGAAATAGGAAAAGTAGAAATAGAAGTGTCTGTAAACAATCACTCTTATGCAACTGAATCATTTCAGGGTTGATCAATGCTAAGCATAACGATTCAAGGTAAGGAGCAATTCACACAGACGTTCGGAAGAAATGTTTATTTGGTACCCATTCCTCTGGTAGATAGCAAGGCCCTTCATGTGTACTTTCAATAATCCTATTGTACTGATTTATAACCACATCTACATAGAGACCCCAAACTCCAGATATTTTTTTTCTGCTTTCTCTCCCTTGACACAGCAAATGTACATAGGTAATTTACTGGTACTAAAATTTTCCATCTGATGGCTTTTGAATTGAGATGTGAGATTTAAGCCATCACCTACTAACAGGAAGTGAAACTTAGAGGTGACTATATAGCAAGAGAAACTTAAGAAAAAAGTGAATTATTATTTCATTTCATATAACAGTAAACTTGTATTTTTCCAAATGAGATGCATTATAGATCCATTACAGATGTGATGTCACTCACTCCCCATCACATGACATGGCCCAAGTGTTTAAGAGAGCCTCAGTATTTTGACTGTCATAGAAGCACCTCATACAAATAGATCAAAGATATGTTATTGCTGTGACAGAATCATCAAAGTACTTAAGGGATTTTCTCCTGTTTATTTCCTATAAAAAGCAGAAAATACATAAAATGAAGATAAGAACCTAACTCTAAAGTGGTAATGTTGGAAGGAAGGAAAGAAGGGAAGGAGGGAGAGAAGGAGGGAGGAAGACAAGAAGAGAGGAAGAGAAGGATGGAGGAAGGAAAGAGACAGTATAGCAATTGAAGTCCATGAAGAACACTTGCAGCCAAAGAAATGTGATCATTTTGGGTAATGTTTTATAATTCATTAAACCCAGCCAGTTGAGTTCTACCAAGCAAATGGAAACCAGAAATGAGGATCAAAGCTCATTTCACTTGAATGTTTCCCTGGGAACCAGACTCACCTTCCCACAATCATAGTTCCCGAAACTGCAAACCCTTCTCACACACATACTCAAAAACAAACAAACAAACAAAAAACCTGGATCCAGTTCTCATATAGTCATGCTTACTGCAGACCATAGCAAGTTTCTGGTTTTAGGGTTGCTCTGCTCTTTGGCCAAGCCAGTCTCTTAGAAGATACAATGCATGTACGTAGGGTGATTTACAGAATGTTAACAGCTAGCATTTGACTCCTGTGACCTTCAACCATCAGAGCTATTTTATCAGTGAAGTGGCAATCTCTTGAGTCTCAAAGACTTTCACTCTTCCCAACTTTCCTTCTAAAAATAACTGAATCCTCAGGAGGGGTCCCCAATGAGTCATTTCCAATTAGATCCTAAACAGACACTTTTCTACTCCCAGCAGCAATCTTTTTTCAAGTGTCTAGGAGAATGGATAGGCATGCCTTGGAAGGATGGGAAAAGAGGTGTCAGAAGATGGGAGAAGGGGCTGAGAGAGAAGAAAACATACTGCTGAATTACCAGAGCTTTACACCAGTCTCTTCCTCTTTTCCCTTTCCTTCAACCACCCCCAAGAATTGGCTTGCCTCCTTACCATCTTTGCTGCCAGAAGCCTTCCACATAAGGCTGTCTCCTTCAGATTCTACTGACAAATTGGCAGTACCTTTTTCTCTCACCTCTTGTCCATATGCCAGTGAAAAAAATCTCTTTGAAGCTTTCTAAGGACTTTCACTGTTATTTTTTTCTTTTAGGAAACAGAGAGTAACTCAAAAGAAAAACAAATGGTGGAAAGTTGCAACATAAAAATAATTCTTAAGTCTATAATGTGTGGTATTTGAGAGGTAGGGTCACATACACTAATACCCTTCATTTCTCATTGCCAAGTTGATCACCCTTCTCCAGGTCCTGCTGTTCCTAACACATGATTCTGCCATGCTCCTATAATGCATATAAAACTCCAAACTCATTGCCATCGAGTTGGATCCAACTCCTAGCAACCCCTCCTTGGGTTTCCGAGGCAGTATCACTACGGAAGTAGATTGCCCAGTCTTCCTTCCCAGAAGTGGCTGGTGGGTTTGAACCACCAGCCTTCTGGTTGGCATTCAAATGCCTTAGGCACTATGCCACCAGGGCTCCTCCTATAAGGCATAGTTTACTGTTTATGTAACTGTCCCCCACAAGCCACTTTAGGGTAGGACTTTGTCTAATTCTTTGTTTGCACGGCACCTGAGACAATATCCAGCACATGGATGAAAGCATGCATGAACGAATGAAAATCAAAGGTTGATCCTTTTTGGCTCTTCTCACACTAATTACTTTTAATTATTTTCCTAAGATTCAAAAAACCAAACCAAACTCACTGCTGGGGAATCAGTTTTGATTCATAGCAACCCCCATTGGGTTTCTGAGGTGGTAAATCTTTACAGAAGTAGATGCCTTCCTTCTGCAGAGCAGCTGATGGGTTTGATCTGCCAACCTTCTGGTTAGCAGGTAGATGCCTTAGGCACTGTACCTCCAGAGCTCCTTTTATAGTGATTAAGTCTAGTTTAATCTTTTTCATATTCCCAGTGCTGGTGTGTACACAGGAGCTCTGGTGACCTAGTGCCTAAGACATTTGACTGCTAACCAGAAGGCTAGCGGTTCAAACTCACCAGCCACTCCTCGGAAGAAAGATTTGGCAATCTACTTCCGTAGTGATACTGCCTCGGAAACCCAAGGCCTGGAATTTCCTTTCTTAGGAGCTCTGGTACATAGTGCCTAAGGCACTTGACTGCTAACCAGAAGAATGGTGGTTCAAATCCACCAGCCACTCCTCAGAAGGAAGACGGGGCAATCTACTTCCGTAGTGATACTGCCTCAGAAACCCAAGGAGGGGTCGCTATGAGTCATGCCAGACTCAATGGCACATAACAACAACAACAATAGTGTGTACACATTTGCTCTGTCACCTAAATTCATATCCTCTATTTTTACTTTTGCTCCATAGAGAAGAAAACCCAAGTGTTTATGGTTACTAGTGTGGGTGATCCTATTTTCACAGAAGACGTCATTGCACTTCTCTTACTTTCCTCATACTTCTCTAGGAAATATTAACAAAAAAACTTTAGTCTCATTGACTTAATCTCCTTTCAACTCACTCGAATCTTCCTTCTTAACACAGTCGCTCATAAAGCAGATGATAAGACATGGCATTGTTTTTAGCAAATGTCATTGTCTATATACCCAGTCACCGAAAAATCATAGTGCAACAATGATAAATAATAAAAGATACAGTGATTTTTCTCACTGTCAGAGGGCAAGATACATACATAATGCCAGTTCTCTAAAGATAATGGAATGATTACGATAGCTAAGAAGTATGCAGCATTCACTATGTGT